ATTTCCACTTTGCTCTAATCGCTTTGGTCAGGTTTCGTCTCGAACGCGACGGGACTCTCCGCATCGAAACACATCCCCAAGTGGAAGCTCTTTGGAGGATGATGATGATGATGAGGTGGGTGATTGGGCGTTTGTGGTGAGGAAGCATCGGAGAATGAAGAATGTGGATCCGATTCATCCTTTGCGACTCAAGATTCTTTGAAGCTTCCATCCTCTGCTTCTCCAACTTAATCATCATCGCACCTTCGATCCTCACGCACACCTCTCCCTACTTCAAAAACGCTCTCGCCAGCTCCATACACGAAGATCCTTCACCTCCACTTGGATCCACGTTCTCCACTCTCCGATGCTTCCTCACCACAAACGCCCAACCACCCACCTCATCATCATCATCATCCTCCAAAGAGCTTCCACATGGGGACGTATTTTGATGCGGAGAGTCCCGTCGCGTTTGAGACGAAACATGACCAATGCGATTAGAGCAAAGTTGAAATCAGGTGAGATTTGTTGCTGGTAGTAAGTCATAATAATAATAATCAGATCTCAAAGAAGGAAATGAGATAATAAGAGAGGGGGATCCGAGACGAACTGAAGCTGAAGGCAAAACTAGAGGAAGACATGAGCTGTTTGTTAGCCATGATGATCCCAACGGAGCTGATCACAATCATCGCCCAAGCTCCCTCCTGGAAGTTATAAGAATTACGAAGAGAGGATGAGTTTAAAGAGAGAAATCTTACGCATATTTATACGGAACCTATGCGACCTCTCAGATCTAATCAGCGCTTAAAGATACATCATGAAGGAGGGATTTAATGGGACTGAAGACGAAGACATTAATCAGACAGTTTCAGTCATGAGAAGGATTGCAATCGTCCCCGCCTCCAGTCGCACAAAGATGAGAGACGAACGCTGGGTTAGAGGGAGATCGTTCTTTTCATGGGCCGGAAAATATCCAAATGAAACCCACAATGTGGAAGCTCTTTGGATGATGATGATGATGATAATGACCGACACCATCAATTAAATGAAACACTGCGCTTAGAATAAGAGGACATGCGTCGCCTTACGCATGAGCTATTTAGTGACATGGCAGAGTTGTAGAGAAGAAAAACCTACTTTATATAATAATACTAGGTTAATATCGCGCATTTGCACGGGATAAAGATTATATATATAAAAATTATTTTATGTGTTATTCTTTAGTTTGTGTATTTTTATATAATATAAAATAATAAATATATTGAATAATTGAAAAATCTATAACTATTATATATACAATTAATATAGTGCGAGCACCTAAATAAAAGAATCATATTTGTTTATTTATAATTATTTTAGATAAGTAAATCTAATTAATAAATGATATTAACATGCATATATATATATATATATATATATATATATATATATATATATATTATAATTTTGATTTGGCTATCTAACAAATGAAGCTTCACACTTACATGGTTTTATGATCATTTGTATATTTTTATAACAAAAAATTTAAACTATTGATAACATCATTTTTAATGTGAGAGATTTAATATTTACAGTAATTCATCATCATTTAAAAAATAATAATTCAAAGTTTGTCTTTAAAGTATTAAGTTCTCAATACTTGTTATATGCAATTTTGGAATTAAATATTTATGTATTTTTAAATGGTATATAGTTTAATTTAAACATCACAATATATATATATATATATATATATGTATACATCTAATTTAAATATCTATTAAATGATATTTTTTATTCTTTAATTATATAGTTGTTTGTATCGTGTTATAACAAACAATTGAAACAATTAATCAAAAAATATTATATGTGAAACATTTAAATGTTTTATTAATTTATAGTCGTTTTTAAAAATTCAAATTTAACATATATGAAAAAATCTAATTTTTTGTTATATAGTTATTGTTCAATTTATTTTCATAATATAAATTTAACAAAAAGAGTAGAGGCTATACAATTTTTTATCAAATCTTTCTTATTCAAATCATTAATTGTCATAATATATATATATATATATATATATATATAGTATAACCATATTAGTTAATTCCGTAAATTTTATTTAAGAAAATAATGAATAGCATTAATAATATTTTTATGCTTAATTTAATAAAAAGTATATTGATGGACCAACGTTTTTCTCTATTAAATTTGAAAAGTATTATCATAATGAGACGAAGCTACCAAAACATGTTGTAATGTTTATCAATTAATATATAGGGGATATGATGGGTTTTATAAAAGGAAAATACAGTATATGTTGCCTTTAATTAAATGTATATTTTAGTCATAATGAGCACGATTTATAGATATTCAAATTTAACTCAACTGGATATATAAAGTCACATGCATTTGAAATTAACTTAGCTCTTTTACTGTATATACTTTAATATATATTAAATGAAACTCTTTAATTATAAGATTTTATGATCATTTATATATTTTCATAATAGAATATTTAAATATTTTGATCACAAAAATTTTAATGTGATATTTTAACAGTTTAGTAATTTATAATCATTTACAAAATTCAAATTATAATATACAGAAAAATGTAAATTTTTGTTATATTGTTAATAAGATTTTTATTTCGTACTAATGATATAAATTAAACATAAATGATGGAGGATACATAAAATTTCTATCAAATCTTTATTATTAAAATCATTAATAGTCATATATATTTTTAATCATATTAGATAATTTTGTAGGAGAAAAAAAATCTCATAGATTTAATTTTGTGATTAGGTTAATGGAAATTATAATATATATATATATATATATATATATATAATGAACCAACATATTTTACTATAGATTTTAAGAAGTATTTTATTGATAACATCTGTCATAACTAAAATATTGTAATACTTATTTTTAATATATTATGATTATCCTTTTAGTATATTGAATCATTTAAGTCATAACTCAACATCATACAAAATCTCATGTACAAAAGTTGAGTTAGTAACCTTTTTTTTTGCATTTTGTTAGTTAACTTACGGTTAGTTTTTATTTTTAATAGTTTTGAAATTTGAATACACTATACCACCATTGACTAATATCACCTTTTCATTAGTTAGTAAAGCAATTTTTTTAAAAAAAAAAACTGTATAATTATTCACTACTTTGTCAAAGATTTGTATAAGCTTTCTTATTTTTATTTAAATTATTTAACAAAATTATTTATATAAAATTTAATTGTTAATTCTGTTTAGTAACTACAAGGTTTACATACATGGAATTCTCTGTAAAAACATAAATACATACTGTAACATAAACATAAACTTGAATGTATTTCATTAATTTTTATTATGTGTTTAATTTTCTAAATTATTTTTATTAAAAGTTATTATCATTGATATTTAAAACTAAAAAAAATATTCATACTGTAACTTAAATATCAAAAGTGATACTAGTCAACCATTTTCAAAAAATATCAACTCATAATTTTTTTTTTCACATCAAAAAACTGTTCAATCACTCAAACTAGAAGAAATCTGGAAATCCAGACTGAGATGGAACAACCAACAAAAGTAAATATCAACTCATATTTATACATCAGATTCACTATATAAATATATATTTTTTACTGCATAATTTAGACCGTAAGTTATAAAGTTATTCTTAGGTTCACCCCCTAGGGTGAACCTCTAGGTTCACCAACCAATAGGGTGGTGCTATTTAATATTTGATATCTTTTAAAAAAGGAAACAAAATCTTGTCAAGTTATATTATGTTTTTAAAATAAAAATACAAAAAATAAATAAAAAATAATAATATTTAAAAAAACGAAAAAAAACTTAAAAAAAAAATATTTAACACTAAACCCTAAACTCTAATCCTAAACCCTAAACCCTAATACTAAACCCTAAACCCTAATCCTAAACCCTAAACCCTTGGGTAAATCATAAACCCTTTGGGAAAATCTTAAAATTAATACTAATCAATTATACTATTTTTTATTTATTTTTATCTTTTTATTTTAAACACATGTTTTTATTTTGAAGATATATTAAAATATTTTTTTTGTTTTAAATTGTTTTTTGCAATTATTACTGTTTTATTTTATTTTTATCTTTTATTTTAAAACATAATATAATGTTAAAATATTTTTTTAAAGATCTTTTTTCGTTTTTGTATATATTAATATTTTATTTATTTTTCTATTTTTATTTTAAAAACATAATATAACTTGACAAGATTTTGTTTCCTTTTTTAAAAGATATCAAATATTAAATAACACCACCCTATTGGTTGGTGAACCTAGAGGTTCACCCTAGAGGGTGAACCTAGAGGTTCACCCTAGAGGGTGAACCCAAGAATAAGTCTAAGTTATATGGAACTATAACTTTTATGGTAATTTAACACTAATACCTTTCTCCACTTTTGTTCACATATAATTTATTTAATATGTATTATAATTTCTTTTGAAATGATATGTATTATCTTTTTCTGATTGAATTAATTTCCTAATATTATTTTGCAGCTATTATTTTAGGAATAAAACAAAAAAAAAAGTGTTTTGGTATTTAGATAAGTATTATGGTTACATCTAATTGTTACAGCTCAAAGATTACAAACACTTGGATGTCAAAAGTTAAGAACAAAACAGATCAAACAAATATCCAAAATCCGAACAGATTATTTCCATTTAAGAACAAAAAATACATTTGGTTATTAATTATACACGTAAAAGTTTGTTTATTTTAATTTAATAAATCCTCAACTTAAAACTATAAATATATGCATATCCTCCACCCATTTGCGTCGCCATCCCTTGACACCATTCGTCTTCCACCACCAAACCCTTCTTCTCTCCATTTGCTTTGATTTTGATTTTCTTCGTCAGAAAGTAAGGAAACCCACAACGAAAGTCTCGAACTTTCTTTGTTAATTTTCTTTCGTTTTCTTCTTAAATATCCGCACCAAAAACAATTTTTTCATTCTTTGATTCACGTGGTAAATAGCCCTGTGACTGGATGGGTTCTGGGTTTTCTCTCTTCACCAATGGTTCATCTTCTTCCTCTCGTAACAGAGATCTGCTAGAGCCTGGTTTTGGTGATTTGCCTGAAAGTTGTGTGGCGTTGATCCTCGAGAACTTGGATCCGGTCGAGATCTGCAGATTCTCAAAGCTAAATAGGGCTTTCCATAGCGCTTCCTGGGCTGATTTCGTCTGGGAATCGAAACTTCCTGAAGATTACAGATTGATTCTCGAGAAAATCCTCGGTGGTTTCCCGGAAAAAGTGGGCAAAAGAGACATTTACAACTTTCTTTCTCGTGTTAATTCCTTCGACCAAGGCACAAAGGTTTGTCCTTTATTACAGCTTCTCTTTTGTACGGTCCTAAAGAACATGTTTTTGATTCGATTTTTTTATGTTCTGTTGCAGA